TCTCTCTCTCTCTACCCTAAAAAGTCCAGTCAAGTGCGCTGCTGAGAAGAGTTCGTGAAAAGAGCCGTAGCCAGAGCCGCGATTAACGTGCCGCGACTGGCAAGTCGCACGTTTTTCGTATAAGGTAGGTACTTACTGGCATTTGCGGGCCAGGGATGGATGCGGCGTGCGTGCTCTACATCCGTGACACGGTTCTCGCGGCAGGTCGGGTAAGTGGTCCATCAGAACTACAGGGGCGTCGCGTGTTTCTTCCGTTGCGGCTGTTCATGAATCGCGCGCCGTACGCGCCATACGCGCCGCTTCACCTACACAAGGACGCGCGCGCGCGCGCGCGCGCGAGCGCGATGGGCCGCTACTCCGTTCGCGAGTTTACGAGTTTACGTCGGTTTATACGATGCACCGTGCACCGTGCGCACCACGCTGGGAACCAGTTTGCGGTCACGCAGGGGGACGACGACGCCATTCCTCCGCCCCCTCGCGAAGAGGTACGCTAGCGTCGCTCTCCTTTGCGCGTCGCTTTGAGCGCGTCTCGGGCGCGAGAAAACCAGTTTGTTGTGGGCAAAGGACAGCGAGCTAGCCTTAACTCCTCGGTATCGAGGTGGATGTTCTCTCGCGCACTCTTACAAGGCAGTCATCGGCGATCCATCCCACCACCGGGGCCGATCGGGCGGCACAGGCCCATTGCAGCCGCTCTCAACGCCGTATTAAAGGCAAAAGTGGGCACCACTACCATTCGTCCATGGCCATCGCCACCCGCCATCCGCCCATCGTCGTCGTGTCTCGCAGGGGGCCCCGTATACCCGTACTTCCCGCGGAAGGTGGTGGGTCGACTCGCGACAACATCGGTGCACACCTCGGTGTCCACCAAGGTGGAGATCTACGTATATAAAGTCGTCGGGGCGAGACGCGAGTTCAGAAGTCTCATGCTACTCCTCGATTCACATATCGGGATCAGGAAGACAAGGACCCTTCGTGATATTCCGTATCGGTCAGCTGATCGGCAAACTGTGAGAAGAGTCGCCACGCATTTCAATCCCATCCCTTTCTCGCCTTCTTGTAATTTTCAAAGCTTTCAGCACAACAGGTGAGTTATCATTCTTATCTTACTCATGGATCGTTGAATATACATCGTGCATCGCGTCAGAGGCATACGCGTCAACAGTTATATTTTACTTTTACGTGCCATCAACGTCGACTACGTCGTGTATTATTTTTATTTTGTGATCGTTTTTATAATGTAATCTAATTTAATCGAGTTTTATCTTATACAAATGATATAGAACTTATTTTACTATACATATATCATATTGCTTTTCGGTTTTAAATTTGATTAATTATATAGATTTTGACTTTTAATTTCTTTTTTATTTTAATTTTATTTTAAATTTTAATCGAGCAAAGAATATATATTTATAAAGTATATAATTTATATTTACTTTTTGTATTTTTGCTTAATTCATATTTTTTTGTGATTATCTTACAAGGATAATTGATCTGCGATGTGAAATATTTTAACAGAAGAGCACCATGAAGGCGACTCTCATATTGGTGTTGTTTGGTATTGGTGTGTGTTTGGCCAACCCTCTGGAGAAAAAGGAGAAGATAAGCGTCGTCGAGCAGCAGTCCGCGATGATAACAGATCGAGCTAAATATGAGGAAGAACTTCTTCGTAAACTCAACTCAAAATGTTCCCAGAATGATATCAGCAGTTGCGTAATGTTGAAGTTGGTGACATACATGAACAAATTGCTGAAGAAGGCTTCGATCGAGCTCACAGATGACATCGAAATTAGAAAGACGGGCCAAACGTCAGAAGATGTGATCACGTTCGAGGCTGGTAGAAGCAAGGACGACGAGATTCAAGTTCTCGATCTCATAGCGAATAAAGTTTACGCCTTCATTAAATCGAGAAGCATCAAGTGGAGGATTTTACCTGAAGATGATATCGTCGTATCCGCATCGGAAGATGATGCTGGTTCATTAAGCTTAGGTTTATCCATTGAACGCGCTGACAGACCTATTCAAGACGGTAATTATAACTTTTATAATTTTATCTAATTTTTTGAAAAATGTCTAAAAGCATTTCTAGAATTATATTTAGTTATAATTATTAAATTCTGGATATTCTCTGCTGCGATAAAAATACGCTCTAAATAATTAATTTGTTCTATATCAAGATTATTAGACATATTTTTACAAGTTCAACAGATGCGATTTAATCAAACTTGATAATTAAGCTTTCACACGATTAAGTTTATGTAAAATACTGTTATCTATTTGTAATTATTAATTTTCAAAACTTTGCTTAATTATTCAAAAATCATAAATACTTTAATATTTGTGTTGAGGGAAAATTATGTAAAACAAAAAATATCACGATCATTCCATCATGATCTATAGTTATCAAAATTATTACCAAATATTTTTACATTTTAATGTGTCTTGTCAATTTTATCTTTTTTACTTTTTCAATTTTCGCTGTTTTCGTACGAGTAAAGTTGTGTCACCGACTGCATAAACAAATAACTTTCACCTCTTTGGCTCATTTATCTTTTCATTCATCTGTTCATCACCGAACTTTACTGCTTTCTCCATAGAAAGTACAATTATACGTCTATAGTGTGATTTCTTTGTCCATCTCTCGAGCAATTTATTGAAAGTGACAATATTAGTCATTTTGTTTGTTTTTTTTTTTTTTGCAGGCCGTGGAAAGAAAAACAATATGGGTCCGTTAATTGCTGCGGCTGTTTTAAAAATTGGTCTCATCGGTGGTCTCGCATTCAAGGCTCTCGCCCTTTTGGTCGGCAAGGCTCTTCTTTTGTCCAAGATCGCGCTTTTACTGGCCAGTATCATAGGCCTGAAGAAACTCTTCTCGCACGGAAAGCACGTGACTTACGAAGTGGTGGCGCATCCTCACCATAGCAGTCATTCGTTCGATCATGGTCACGGTGATAGTTACTCCAGCGGATGGGCAAGAAGCTTCCACGAACAAATTCCCGGACAGCCAGACGCTCACGAGCTAGCTTATGCGGCACACGTAAAGTGATTGACTTCTACTCTATCGAAGCGGAAGCAGGATCCAAGGATTGCCGAAAAAAAACACTTGAGAAGAATAGTGCAACGTCCTCGGATCTGTACTGAACGTATTCTCGAATTACTCCTCACATTTACCTTACACGTTATTTATTACTTATTTCTTATCTCTTCTACCTTTTCTCACTTTTTTCATCACATTGTGATTCTCTTTAATTCTCTCTTACTTTTCTTCTTCTATTACTATCATATCTAAATTTTCGAACGACGGACTGCAGGACGCATAAATATGTCAATGACGCGACGCACGTGTTTACAGCAAATATCACGGCGATATCAGGATGTCACATCATGATTTACCTAGGCAGGTGGGCAGGAAATTCTTGGATGCGTATAAAGAATATGTATCACAAGAGTCTTACCTACTTTTTGTGCCTCTACTTGTGAATATAATCGCGGATATACTGCGAGACTCTCGTCATTAGAACATTAGATTACACACGAGCGTTATATTCTTCTCGCTTCTCACATTATAGTATTTAGACCTGTGATATCTCGAGAGCTTAGAATTACGTTCACACGTTTAAACGTTATAACGTGCATTAAACGTTAAATGTGATTATTCTACTTTTAATTTGTATTCTGGCCATTTGACATTAGATATAACTATCATTTCATGCTGAATAGAAGCCTCGTTGCCAAAAAATTAATTATACTTATTTGTTATTTTTGCATGCGCATATATTTTTATTATTTATTATTTATAAATTAAGAATTTTACCAAAGCTGATTACTTTTAAATATTAAATATTATTTGAAGTCATGACAAAATTATTATAAAATGATATGATATCAAAACAAACTTTCTAAGTTCTTTTTTTAATCAGACTTTTTTTGAAGTCTTTTTGTATTATTTGAACTGTGATGAATCGTGAAGAGAGAAGTGTATTGTAAAATTCTAATCGCATAAATAATTAGTAAATAGTAAAACAATTACACGTATATCGTATAATTAATTTTACTTTGTTTGTGCTTTAATTGTAAATTATAATACATTGAACTTATCTTTGATAGAGAGTCTTGTAGTGATTTGCTTGACGTAACGGACAGACAAATTTACAAATTTATACAAATTTTTTTAACGGAAGTACTTGAATGATTTTTTTTGATGGAGCAACTTGAATGCGCAATGAATCAAGACAAAGAAAATAATGACTAAACCACATAATGACAAAACACGTATATTTTATTTATAATAATATTAATATTTCAAATTAATGTATTTAATTGTGTCTAATTTTAATGAGACTGCAAAATGTATAATAATATTATTTTTGATATTATTTTTTATATAAATGAATAAATATTTATTATTTTTATAGAATTATTTGTCTGCTATATTTACAATTATACAAATATTAAGTGAATAAGATAATTCATTTTTTATTTATTTTCGTTATAACAATTATTTATTTTTATATGTGTATATGTATTTAAATATGAAATTATTGTCTGTATATAATAAAGCTAAATAATGAATAATTAAAATAAAAAAATCAACGAAGATTGTTTTATTTGAGAGAAATAAGGTTGTAATATTGAAATACATAATTGCTCTTATTTTTAATAAAATTTTCCAGATATCTTCTATTTTGTACAAATTTAATCCCATTATTCCATGTTTATTTTTTTATTTATCACAATTAAACATAATTTTCTAATAATGATATAATTGTTCACTTTTAAAACGTAATAAAAATAATAGCGGATAATAATTTGTTGCAATTTTTTAATGCGACCCTTTTTTAAAGATTAAATTACTTAGGATTTAATATTTAACTTTAAGATTGTCCTCCTTTTTTAATCGATAAGTGATGTCTTTGGTGAAACAACTTTCGAATAAATCGAGACGGATACGCTCGACTACGCTAAACATAAATCCCTGTGAATGATACGGACGCTACTGTATGCAACAAGTATTTTAGTCGTTAGTTGTGGTCTATTTAAGACGACTTGTAGACCGGATAGAGCAAAACATTATGTAGACACGAGAATAAAAGTTACCACGATTTCACATCTATGAGATTCATTTCGTTAGTCTCAATAAAATTAAATCCCAAATATACATATATTTGGGACTTAACATAAATAAAATATAGTTATTAGCTTTACTAATTAAGTAATTATAAAAGTATAAAAGTTGTGATTATAATTTTTGCTAATAAAAAATTAATTTTGTATATTTCTTAAAAAATTTGTAAGTAATATTTGACTTCTGCATATTTTTACAAAAAAGTTAACACATTTTACTACGATCTTATTAAGATTTATATGTAAAAGATGAATTTCTTTTAAAATCACTGAAACTGCCAAATTACAGTCGAGTGCAACGTTCCGGAATTCAGCGGGATTTTAACGCTAGGCATGTAATTATTTTGACTAGCTTATTGTGAATGATATAACATGCATTTGCGTTTGTTAAACGTGTAAATTTCTGTAATGTGCTATCATATATTTAAAAGCTGCGAAATTTCATCTTATAAAAAGAATATATGTATTACTTACAATAATTTAATTTTTACGCGTATAATTTATATTTTGATCTAGACGTATCTATAAAATTTTGCGATATTTATTTAAGAGAGAACGAAGAATTTGTACACGTTTGGTGGAGGAGTTGGGCACGTCTGTGGAATCGAAGGGAAAACTGTCTGGACCACGTGGATACCCCAGGCATCTCTCATTCAAATAAGTTAGCCTCCTTTTGAGAATGTCCGCTTTCTCCATCCTGATCGGTTCTGAAAGGATCTAAAGGAAGATATCCCCAAGATAAGACGTGGCGTGGCAGAAAGAGAGTACCGTTCATCCCGTGCCGTTCAACAAATCGACTTTCGATTTCCGACGTATGGGGGCATCACGGACTTGACCTAGTTTCTTCATTTCTTTTTTTCTTTCTCTTCTTCTTTTTCGAAAAGACTTTGCACGTGTGACGAGGAAAGAAGTTAAAGTCCGGTGTGTCCAAAACCTCGATCGTACACGGATATCGTTGACACACGTTGATGTTCGTTGATAAATACATTTTTTGAACCTAGCTCAATTACTGTCATTATAAACTGTTAACCGTGTATTATTTATTAGGCGGTGCCCGAAACGTTTACTATTTATCGCTAGGCGAGTAATCAATGTTATTGATATCGATCATGGTAAGTGGACGGATCTGGAATTAACTGTTGATTTATGGTATGTGGGTCGATCTTTGCTGGTAACCGGGATTCTTCCTTATATTCGAGATGCAATTGCCTAGATCGGAGATTAAACGGAGCAAAGTAGTGAAAATCAATTAAATTTTATTATGAAGATCTATTATCACGTAATTGTTACAATGCCGGCTTATTTAAAACAAACTTTCCTTTTAAGAAAATTTCCTTTTTCTAATTCATCAAAATCATTTTTCCTAATTCTCGAAAATAATATCAAATGTTAATTTATATAGCACAATAATAAAATTCTATAGAATGTTAATATTACATTTTGTGGTTATATTTAATTAATTACGCTCTTGAAACGATTTATCCTACAAAAATTACAAATTAATCCAAACAATTTCCCAAATGTTTCAAAACTTACCCAATTCTCTTATTTAGTTGAAGTTTTAAATCTTGAAGTTTCAACGAAGTTAAGTATAATAAAGTTAAGTATAATAAATTGAATGAAATAAAGGGCTGAAGAGAGAATAGAACAAAGTTTGTAAAGGAAATGTAACGCGATAATATTACGATAATACGATTTTGTTACGGCTCGGTTAAATTGTTGATGCGCAATATACGCTGCATGTGATAAATTTACGATAAATCTCGATGTTATGAATGAACTAAAATACAATGCAAATACAAAGTATAGTTGTAAATATCCGCGTTTCGAAAGTAAACAGAGCACAGCTTAGCGTGCACTAATTAAAATCTATCATATTTCGTACGTATGAATTCCGCGAATACACGCGAGTACACGCGATAAGGTGCAACTGCCGCGTGTTTCGAGGACGTTAATCTAATTTTAATCGATCGTGCCGTCTCGTGGATTTCGATAAAGTTTATATAGTCGATCACGATCCATCCGTATACCATCGAGTCGTGTCGTGGAACGGAAGAATGATTTCGAACCGGCTGTAGTTATACCTACCAGACTCTGCTACGTATATACTACGATATCGGGCATGCGAGGGGAAGTGGAACAGAAGAGAAAGGCACGTGGAGATGAACTAGATTTGGATAGTCATCTCTCCTTTCCTTCTATACGTCGTCGTCCTCCTCCTCCTCCTCCTCCTCGTCCTCCCCCGGCGTCCTCTCTGCCTCTTTCTCTCTTTTCCTCCACACCCTGCCCCTTCCTCCTATACGCATTCGCATTTCTCACATTCTCCACCATGTTAGGGGTCGTCCTCCTCGCCGTCTCGCGCGTACATTGACACGATTTACCTATCGTGGAACAAGATCGTCGTCAATAATCCGCCTCGCGGCTCCGGCCGTCGACATTAGCGGGTAGCGCAAAATTTCACGTTGGTTTTCTCGCATGGATTCAAACACGGTATCGCTCGCATCTGTTATTTATTAGCCACTAGAGACGCGTTTTGCGTACGATCGCGTTACGATAGGATACCAGCGATCACGATTCGAAATCGGTACGTTCTCTTCCGCTCCACTAAAGCGCGGAAGAAGAGAAAGGAAGGAGAATCGGAGCTGCGCGCGCGCGCGCGCGCACGCGAGAAGAGAGCCGCGGCGGTATCGAATGATCCGGGAGCTGGTGGTACGTGATCTAGAATAACGAGATCTCGCTAGACGTGGATTACGTTCGACGGGGCAAGTAAAGGAAATAGGCGCAGAGGAAGGGAGCGGAAAATGCGTCGAAGGCGTCATCCGCGCCGATGATGGAACCTCGCTCTCGCAAGCCGACCGCGCCGTAACGCTCTGAAACGCGTCGGAAACAAGAATTAAACGAATCGTCCGGCAGGAGACCGGCATCTAAGTGAACGAAAAATTACCGGCTAATGCACAGCAAGAGCAGAGAACGGCAGCCATCGTGCCCGATGCTCTCCTTGCTTTTTTCTTAGTACAATCACCGACCCTCACGTAGATCTATATAAATGGGAATTGCAAGCACTTACGCTGTAGCACTCGGACCTCCGCCGTAGGTTCCGCAGCTTCACGCGAATCACGCGACGTTCCCCTGCAGTTTTGCCGCGCGCGGTGATTAGGTTTAATAAACGCGAAAAGCGTAGGGAAGCGAGGAGCCCGCCGCGGAGCGCCCTTTCGACGGAGCCCGCAATCATTTCGTTTTCGTGACACGCTCGTTTCCACGACGAAACGATGCTTTGGATAGACAGCATACCGGGAATCGATCGTCGACGTCTGCCCGTCGTATGTCTGGCGTTGGCGATCTGCGCGTTCTTCACCATTGACGCGAGCGACGCCGCCACGAACGAAACCAAGGACTCGTGGACGGGATTTTCGACGTCCTGCACATCGGAGGATTCCAAAAATGTGTCGGTCTCCTGTCATGGAGTGCGCATCGTACGGAAAATCGTACAACAATTTCTGGAGACCACCAGCAAGGAACGGGACATTGAACTGTTCGACGGCGTATCCTTGGTCGAAGCGCCTGGAAACGGATCTTCCCGAAAGGCCAGAGTGTTGAAGGGCTTCGGAGGCCTCGGGCCATTTTTTCAGTTCCTGGAAGGTAGAGAACTGAGAATCAAGCTGCCGTCCTTACTCCCATCGAACTTCGAGACTGCCTTAAAGGAGAGTTTGCCATCCGAATCTGAAGGTTAGTAACTCGTTAGCAACCCGTAAATGGTATCGAAGAAAAATCACGAGAAATTTTGAAAATTTATATTTTTCAGCGAGGCAGAAGCGAGGAGGAGGCGGCGGCGGTTACGGCGGCGGCGGCGGCGGCGGCGGTTACGGCGGCGGCGGCGGCGGCGGCAAAGGTGGCAAGAAGGGCGGTGGCGGTGGTTACATGATACTGGCCCTCATGATGGGTAAGTACTCGTAAATGATTATTACTTTTTAAACTGACGATTAATTAAAATTAATTGTTATATAAAAGTAATTATTGTAAAACTCATATATGTTAAGAGTATTGTGTTTTGCCTTGTACACAAATGTTTCCTAAATTTTTTTTAAATTTGGAGAGCATGTAGTACTTATTACTATGCTATTGCTGTGCTATCCAATTATGTTTGATTTTATACATTGTATTTGTTAATGCTAAATATAATGAAAATGTATTATTTCAAAATTTATATGTTTCAAAGGTATATCTAATTTATTTAATTATATTTGAAAATTGTATGAGATAAATATGATATTAAAAGTATATTTAATTATTATTATTACGCGTATATCGCTATGTAGTTATTATTTTTGACGTTAATCTTATATCACGTTTGATTCCATATTACAATTTTTTTACATTAAAATTCACTTTTCTTTCTAATTTATCTAGGTAAAATGATGGCTGCTATGGGCATGGGGGCGGTGGGTCTTTTGGCCATGAAGGCTCTGATGGTCTCGGCAATGGCTCTGATGCTATCGCTAATCGTAGCTGTGAAGAAATTGGCAGGAGGCGGCGATGATCACGGTGGCCATCACGTCGTTTACGCGCAAGAAGTTGGCCATCATCACCGCAAGAAGAGATCGATCGAAGATGTCGATTCTACACTGTTACCCTACAGAGGATATGCCCATCTCTACGCTAACTCGGGAGCATCTTGATACCTTTGTTAATCGTTAATTGCAGCACCAACCGCGAGATTGAATTGGTTCTCGAGCTTCTTAACTCTCCTGTCATCAGTACCTAAAGCCCTCTTCAGTTAGATGCGACTAGATGGACCACGTTGATAACAGCACATTGACATTGCGTTCACGTAATTTGCATTTCCGTCACATCATCATTGCCTCGTTATCATCATCATCATCATTACATTCATTTAACGCAACATGCGCCTTTTCCACAACGTGGCTTTCGTTTCTTTTTAGTTTATAAAACTGCAAACGTCAGGTCGCGGTAGGAGGGTTAATAGGCGTTGGAAAATGACCGACGACGTGACGCGACGTGACGCGACGCGACGCGACGCGACGCGACGCGACGCGAGATCAGTGACAGTGACATCGACGAAACGACAAATGACTGAGGAACCGATTGACATCTACGGTAGAAAGTGATGTTTAACAAATGCTTGCTCACGAGAAACGTGGTAATTGATCTCTATTGGTCTGCCACTTCGACAGGACTCTCAGTGAAAAATCACACAGACACGCACCGAAGAAACCAAAGTACGTTGTTTGACTTTTTTATTTATTTATTTTTTTATCCACGTATTTATTATTGTGCAACACATGTTAATAAAGCATACGTGTTTGGAAGATATGAAATATATCATGCATTTGCATTTATTACCATCTCGATTGTAATGCGACTGTGCATAAGCTTCGACTTTAGTTATATAATGATTTTATAACAAAGTCGCATTATTTTAATTTAACGTTAAGTAAGGTATAAAAGGTATATAATTAAGTAAGGTCTAATAAAATCGCAAAATTGGTTTAAACAGAAGCAGTTTACGTACGTAATTCTCGAACAAGCCAGCGTAACGCCATTTATTACGAGAAATTAATACGACATTTCGTGTAACAGGCTTGGAAATGAAGTGAGACGGCTCGCTGAGTCGATGTTTCCCGTTTGCTTACACGTGAAACGTTGGAAAATCGCAAGAACGAGGTAACGAATCGAGCCAATGAGGAAAGTGTGCCAGCGACCTACCGTGTCGCGGGTTGCATATTCACCTGCATTTGCTGGATGTGCATTTACTCAGCTAACGTTTCGTCGTGAACACGTTGCGCGCACGATGCAAAGCTAATAATGGTCCGTGCGAATGTCATCTAAGTGGACTAAGTGGCGATAGCGTACCGAAAGTACGCATACGGGGGATTCTCTTCGGGGAAAGAGGAGGGGGGAGATGTGACAACGGCGCGTAACGAATCTGATTAATAATCCGCGCTGATGCGTTATGCGTTTCGTTATATTTGCTTGTTCAGACTCGGCTGTTTCATGAAATGTAGAGTCGTTGGGAATGTAGCGGGACTTTGCGGCAATTTGTACAAGGAATTCGGTGCGAATCTCGGAGGAAGTCAATTTGAGTTTCTTTCAGACTCAAAGATGAAAATTGCGAGAATACGTCTGTAGACACACAGATGCCGGCGCTCGCTTTTTATCCGGTGGCGTTCCTGCGTGCGTGTGCACGTGGCTCCATGCCTGAGACAGATCGGAGAGCTCGAAGGAAGGAAAAACAACGAGGTAGAAAGGGGTGGAGGAGAGACGCCGATGGAAGAAAGGCTCGAGCGCGAGCGACGTAAGAGGAATGGGATCCTCTTTCTCTCCGCATCTCTCTATTCCATTGCCACTTCTTCTTCGGGTTAGATACCTCCCACCGCAAGGCTCCCGGCTCCTTCTTTCTCCACGCGGTAGGGGAAGGAAGAGCTCCAGCTAAGACCCACTGGCATACATACCGATCGCCTTCCTTTTTTACGTTTCGAATATCATAAAACGTGGAGGCTCGCGCTGAAAGCAGCTCAGACGGCGATCGCAGCTCCGGACGGAGCCGATCACGGAGCTTCTCACCGAGCGCAATCTACGACTCGCTACACTCCATCTATGTGGCTATGCCGAAATTTAATTAATTCGCAAATGCGAATTATACAAATCGAATGTTTCACATTGAACATTTAGTCTGATATAGCCTTATATTTAATTTTATATATTTATTGTATTATTTTCTTAATATTCCTCAGAAAGATAATACGCATAAATGAAGCATGTCTATTATGTTTTAAACTTATTATGTTTAAATAACATTAAATAACATTAAAAGTAGTAATGAATTGTAATTATTGTCAACATTATGGAAATTATGGTATTTTATTTTTTTTTCTTTGAAAACTTTTATGGTTATCTATCGTAAGAAGAAATAAATGGACGATCTATCTATTGGCAGACTCTTTTATTCTTTATTATTAATTATGTTTAGTTAGAAATATGATTTTTAGAAGGTCTCTTATGTCAAATTATTAATATAAAATATAGAAATATATTTTTAATATAAATTTTTAATATAAAATTAATAACTATTGTTTTCTAATCTATTAAGCCTATAATGCTTGACATCGAAAGGATTAACATAAGCGTTTTTTCTGGCACAGTAATGCGTTATGGTCCATAGACGAGAAGAACCAGTTGAGCGCAAAAGAATGCCCCGTTACATTCCACGCTCATTACAAACCTCGTAAGGAAATTTAAAATTCAAATTCAATCTGGTTGACTACCGGCCGATTTTTCAGGTCGTACGCATGTCGATGGCCAATGGCCATCGTAGAATCGATCAAACATTGCATCAGAAATTCCTAGCACAGTCGATTGACAGACATTAAACCAGTTACTGACAAGTTTGAAGGCTAGAATATCGAAGACCACCAGCTCTTTCCAATTTAGAACAGGGAACGCAACACGGTTGCTGGATACGCTTTATGGACATTGCTGCCCTAAATCGATACGCTTTTTGAGTAGCTCTGTCTTTGCACATGGAATTCTAGATACCGAGAAGATTTCGATTATTGGTCTGGAAAAATACTACGACCTCCGAAAATCGGTGAATGACTTCGATATATATATATATATATATATGCTTTAAATATATAAATGCCTTAAACTTTAATATAATTAAAAAAGAGAGAATTTCTTATGAAAAATCGAAGAATATAGGAAAAAATTCTTTTTCAGATTTTGTCAAAGAAAATTAAAAGTTAAAAGATTAATGATATATTTTTGACATTTTAACTTTTACTGAATTATTTAAACTTTTCTAGATTCTTTTAATAAAATAATATAATTGTTTATTGAAATAAAACAAATTATAAAACTTTCCTTCATGTACAACATGTGCCTGTGATATGTTTTGAAATTTTGCATCAAGAGATAAGAAATTAATTGAACAAATAGATTTTTTTTTTTTTTAATTAACAATTATGTTAATGATAATCTATGTGACAAGAGCGAGAGTTGGTGTAATCTGTCTAGTGGAAATATCCGTTCTCGATCCGCGTTTCATTGAACGGAATTATATCGTTCGATCTACATGGTTGGTACTCTTCGCGCAAAGCACAGTGATTTTACCGCGATGGGCGTGCCTGTGGCTTAACGATCATTGCTGATCGTTGTTGTACAGGAGAAACTTTGGTTTTACTTTTTAAGGCTTGCTCTCTTCTGCTGGGAGTGAAGGATTGAAAGGATTCTGAGTGGTACCCAATGACCGAGAAAGGATGAATGAGCATTGACGTAAGATCGGGGATGGGAATTGTGTTGACGTTGAACTTGCTTTTCATTGAATCCCTTCTTATGACGAGACGATTCGTTGACCGAATTTCAAGATGAGAGTGCCTCTTCGTAGTGATTATGTGCACGAATTAACAAAGAAATGCGTGTGACCTTAGTAATATTAAAGAAGAACCAGTTGACAGACGTAGAATGCACGATATATGTATTTTTTTTCACTTCCTCTTTTCTATCTCGTGAACTCATTTTTTTAATACATAAAGGAAAGTAAGGAAATTTGTAATATGTAACATGTATGAAAAAGGATATTGCTAGAAAGTCTTGTAAATCTGTAATCGGATGATGTTCATATCTTCCATAATATTAACTCATAATACATTATGAAAATATGTGGAACATGTCTTTTATTTCTAGGTTCTAAATTGCACGTTTTTAAGAGGTTTATAGCTAGAAAAAGATATAGAGAAAACGTACTTTCTATGTAGAAAACATCAAATATGATGTCTTTTAAGTAAAAAGAATCTGATGTCCTATTTGTAAGAGATTTTTACATGCACTTCTCTTTCTCCAAGGTGTACGTAAAGTCCTAGTTTTTATTTTTACACGTTTTCGTGTTTTCACAAGTTGGAAATAATTAAAAAAAAAAAATATGTTTTTTTCCACTTTAATAATTTTGGTCATTGATGTTAACGACGGATTTATTTTCTCAGAATTCATGCCACATATCTACTACAATACAAAGATTTTCTTGATTATCGTACTCGTATACCGTTTTGCATCTTCCCGCACCTCGAAAGGAACGAAATGAAAATGACAAGAGGCCCGTCATCCGCTGGCCCGTGAGAGTTGCAGGGTCAGAATAGAAAGTGATGTCCGCGTAAGCCTTCACGATGAAGGTCAGATCCGGGATGTTTGAACTTGATCTATACTAGTTTTCTTTCATTCATGCCAATCGTGTTCGTATCCGCGTTGTGAACGAACGACGCACGAAGGATTTATCTACGAGGAGAGAGAGAGAGAGAGAGCACGATGATCTCAATGCTTTTCCCTTTGAATTACAGCAAGAATTATTACTGTTAAGAAGCTAGTTGAGCTATCAAAGTATATCATTTGTTATATTATCACTCGCTTGTACACTTGTTATGAGTTTATACAAACTTTACATATCCTGTTTATTGGTTTTCTTACAAATGAAGTTTTCAGTAGTAAGAGTAGGATCTAATCAGACGTAAAAGTTGCTTGTCCCGTTATTTCGTTTACTATCATATTTTTTTTTTTTTTTTTTCATTAAGAAGCATAATGCGCGATTTAACATGAGTTTATATTAAACACGATTTGTTACTGTTTGTAGAAACCATAATGGATTCATTATTCCTATGTGGGCTTAGTAATTAGTTCTATAAACCAACGCTTTCGTAATTTAAATACGCACTTTCTATTCAATTGAAAATTGGCATTTGAATTTTGAAATGGATAGATAGCAATCATTTCTTATTAAAAGTTTTTCATTGTTGAACATTTTGTTGAATGTCAGAGTAACATTAATAAATAAAAATAAGTTTGTTATGTGTCAAAGTTGACTAGTACCAAGGCAAGAATCGCTGAAAGAAGTTTCTCAAGTTTATTTACATGAGATTTAACACATTCTTGAAATTTAGGTCCCATCCGCTCTCCAATTTTAAATATGTAAATGTAAAATAATTAGGACAAGCGAGAAACACATATGCCATTGAATTAAAGCAAAAAAAAAATGCTTTACATAATATACATCTTCTATAGAATTCAGTATCATAGCATTGAAGTAATTTTGTTTGCGCTTATTTTACTTGCATGTTGTTTAATCAGTTTTATTATCTTATGTACTATACTTGTACTTGGTCGGAATATTCAATGCATTTAATTAAAAACTGCATATCCTGTATAATACATGTCACCTGTGTAATACATGTAAAGTTAGTCTAGTATGCTTAAGAAGATGGATTGTTGAAAGAAAGCGTTTTTACTAGTACTCGAGGCGGTGCCCCTCATAACACTCGTCCTCTATTTGTTCTGTCGTAGGTAGGTCGCAGGTCGCATGGCGTGATAGGCGGCGTGGCCGAACCTCGGTCATAGGTACACTTATCGTCTATTGGATGAACACATATACAGTTAAACGGGCGTACGATACATGTGACATTCACGAACTCATGCATGCCAAATAAGAAGAAAAAAAAAAAAGAAGGCGGTGGGGCAGTCTATGATACCGGACCGTGCAGGAGGGGTCCGCCGAATATAAGCTAAACGGATTGTTCCGTGGACCACACAAAATTTGGGCTTCTCACGGGACATCTTACTCGGCGAACATACCTCTTCCGAAAACGTGTCGTGCCGCGATCGAGTGATAATCACACATTTTTGTGGAATATTTCCAAGGAGAAGATATGAAGCTGCTAAAGAATTTCTTAATCTTGACGACTGCGGTGGTTCTTACCGCCGGACAGAGCATCGACGAATGCCTGAAGCAAGACAGTATATCTTGCGTGCAAAAAACTTTATACAGGACTGCTAAGGAATTCTTCGGTAAGGATAAACTGGAGCTTGTGAACGGAGTCAGCTTCGTGAGGAATAATGCGAATGCTCGGTCCGGCAAGGAACTCGCCTATGATCAAGAGATGGAGACCAACAACATCGCGGAGAGACAGAATGCCCTTGAAACTTCATTAGTGATGAAGCTGGACAGTTTCTGACTGGTCGTAGTCTTAGGGTACTACTATCAAATACTACTGAAACTCATAAAACGTAGCAGACTAATATCGCGATGATTAATAAAGCTTTTTCACATTTATCTTATGCTTGAATGCGAGCCATCACTTCTTTCAGATCAATCTCGGATCCGTTTTCGAGAAGGTTCACGAATCGGCTCGCGCTATCAGTGAATCTGCACCACCGGAAATCCGTCAAGCCGTCGATGAGATTGTTGAAGGTAATGTCAATTGATAGATATAGTGCTAATAATTTTCACAGTTGCCCCTTATCACATAAAGGAAAATTAAGTTGACATTTATTTTTGTTTTTACACTTACTTGAACAAATAATGAATATAATTATTAATTAAAATGTTAAACAAATGATTTAGTCTAATTCATAAATTAATTTAATAAATCTTTACTAGGTCGAGGCAAGAAGAAGGGGGGTATGAAAGGACTCCTGCCGCTCTTGATAGCCGCGAAAGTGAAGCTCGGTATTTTGGGAGCTCTTGCCTACTTTGTCATCGGATTTATAGCCAAAAAAGCGATCGCTGTGTCCATCATTTCCCTCCTCATTTCTGCCTTCGTCGGTTTGAAGTCACTCTGGTCAGGAAAAACCTATCATCACGACGTTACTGCTTACAATAGTGGTTGGAACGGTGGTGGTTGGTCAGGTCCCATCAATGGTGGATGGTCGGTTCCCGTAGCATCCGGTGGATGGACCAATGGTGGCTCTTCCGGTTGGGAAGATCCGCATTATGCGCATGGCCAGGCATACTCTGGATATCATCATCATCACTAGTGACGATCATTGATGTTTTTTTTCCTTTTTTATTATTGTTTTTTTTTTTCATTGAACAACGGAAAGAATGAGATGTCAGCGAAAATCAGATAATTCAAGCCTCACGTTGATTCTGTATTGTTCACGAGTTATGGAGATATTTATTTTTTATTTATTATTATTATTATTAAATAGTTTAAATGGGGTACCTGACCCTTCCGTGATGTTATTAAATACATTAAGTATATACTATTCACTCGCGTACGCGTATGCAAAGAGATCGGTAAAGTATAATCAAACTGAAACGCTAGTCACAACACGTACAATTGACGTATAATTCGCTAATTACTTTGTTACCCATCGGAATACAATATTATGTGTGTATTATAAATTCACCATCGCGACTTCAGAGTTTTAGCGCGATCACAGTTTGTAATAGAACTCACTCAACGCACTTGATGACTCGGTTACATCTAGTCCAATATGATGTATATGCAACACATTAAGTTGTAATATGCTTACGATTCTGTACGCTTTGTAATATATAATTCATTAACAGAACTTCAAAAATTTAAATGTATTGATTATTAAAATCCCTTTTCTATTCGTTTTATATTTAAAAACTGCTATTTATAAACTACTATTATGTTCTTCTTTTCTGAAAGATATTTTGTAAGATATATGCGACATACTTTGCGTAATGTATTCTTAGTAAAATTTTTATGAAATTGGAAGATATAAAAATTTATAATTTGACATCTATGTGATTATTTTCGAAAAATTATCCAAATAAAAATACTGTTTTATTTAAATCCTTATAGTAAAAGTGTTTCAATTCTGAAATAACATTCTATCTTAAGTGGATAATTAAATTCGCTAATTAAAAAAAACTCTTTTTGCATTAATGATTGCTTCCATTTTTAATATTAAATATATAAATCGTTTGTGAACCGGTCAAGGAGCTTCGAAAAAGAGAAATCACCACCACGGCAATGGCAACTTTCCAGTCTTCCAGGAAGGTCCGAAACATTTTTTTTCTTTTTCTCACGAGCGAAACTCTTCGCGGCGGCCGCGTTGCATAAAGAGCACATTCGAAATCGTTAATACATCGCGAGTGTTCTGCTTCCTTGACGAGTCATCCGGCCAGCTCGAAATCGAGCCGACGAGATGGAAATGCCGGCTGGCTCTCGGCATTTCTCGTCGTATGGTTACAGGGGAAAGTGCATGTCTCAGGTGCATCCGGGCAAAGCCGATTGTTTCCTCGATCCGCATAATGGTCGGAGGTCGAAGAAAGGTCATGGCACACGTACATCATTCCTAATCGGGTCGAGAGGATAGGTATATACAATTAAATCTTTCAAGACGGATGTCCTTAAGTCCCACATAGAAGAAAAATAAATAGCTGGAAAGGAGGTTGAGGCAAAATGGCGTGTTTCTTCCTCGTGCCGTGCTAAAATCCCAACGGGCGCAGTAAAAAGAACTTTACTTTGGCAATCGGTCTGGCATCGTCCTTTCTAGAATGCGATAGATTCGTATACCACGGTGTAGATAATATTGCATAATGTCATTAGCGTTTATATAAAATGGAAAGATACGATTACTGTGAAAAAAAATTGAATGAATTATTAATAGTAAATTTAAAGAGTAGAATAAAATCTATGACTTAACCTGCAATAAATGACACTGTTATGCAATATGTATCATTATAATAATCCATAGATAATTTAGTTTAGACAAAAAAATATATAAATATATATATAAAAATTAGAAGTACAGAGATAGTACAGAGATAATAGAAAGATTTATATGCGCAGATGCCAAAAAACAAATTACTTGTACAAAATGCAACATGAGGTATAAGAGTGGTGCACAGAGGAATGATGCGTTGGTGCAAAAAGGCGATTGTCATGCTTCGTTACGCTTCTCCGTAACAACGACGACCACGACATTGCTACGGGAAGGACAACGGAGAAAAAAGATGCGAAATTGCTTCGAGAGGAAGAGGAGTTACTTTCGTTCATGGTACAGCCGAGCGTAACGTAGTATAGTATATTAATACCATTGAGATTGGAACAAGTATTATTTCTCCTAACAACATCTATTTTCTTTATTGGTTTAAACTTGCTATATCTTATTTATAAAATTATTTACGTTTATTTAAATGTCTCCATTTTATGTGAATTGCAATTAGTAAAATTATCATTTCACAGAAAGATAAAAAAAATGACACCAAATATGTACGTCTCATATTGTCTTAAAAAAAATTAAAAGACTACATATATCATGAAGACATCAATTTATAAGTAAGAACTTATAAATTTATAAATTTCTAAGTTCAATATCGATTTCATTCATGTAAAAAAATAAAAAAAAAAAAATGAATAAAAAGAAATTTTTAGCAGTTTTTATTATGGAATAGTTTATTTCAAATAATTGATTAAAATTTTATTTCAATTTTTTATTACAAAGTTGATATTTTCGATATTTGAGACATTTTGGAGATAACAAATGATATTCCGTAATATTCCATTTCTATATATATAATGTTATTACCAAAAACATAGAGCGAATAGAGATAGAGCGAATGAAAAAATATAAAAATTGGCACTATCGCCCGTGTCACGGATGTGCAAGCGGATGAATAGAACCGTTCTTCGAGCTCACAAAAGCGGAATTTCTCCGCGTTGATAGCGCCGAGCGTCCGTCGTCTTATTATTAGAGAGTCGTAAAGTTCTGTGCCGATCACGTCTTTTACTCGCGTCTAAATCCAGGTACGGTTCTCACGTCACGATTAGTTTCGAGAGTTTCTCATGCGTCACTGGGTTACTAGATTTCCTAGTGATAGGTCGATTTCCTAGGTCATTATTAGGCACGTATATTGCCGTGTCGCTGCATCGTCAATCGGCATAGAGCACCGATCTTCTTGCCATTTTGCATAACGACTCGATCTACTTTGAGTACAATAAACATTTCTCTTTAACGACGCCGTCGCCGAAACACTTGACAATTTAAAAACATCCCAAAATCTCTGGCTACACTCTTTTTTATTTATAAAACTAAGTCGCCTTTAATAAATCAGAAGTAAATTACGTTTAATATGTTATCTTTATGCTCTATTTATTTATGTATTAAATTATTTTATTTTTAAAATTTGTGAAATTAAATTTGCAATTAAAATTTATCACACTTTATATTTATCTATTTTTCAATCATCTCACATCTAATTTCGCAACAACTTTATGCGAGATAAAGATATTTTATTTATAAAATAAAATTGACTGATTAGCGATTTTGATAGAGATATCGATTATGTACGCATATCTATAAGTTATTGATGTTACGTATGCATTCAGTGATTCATACACAATCATTATAGATCAGTCGAGGTGCTGGCTGGTACACCTTGAACTTAACCGAGAATCGCGATTTCGAAACAATCGTCAAGCGACCGTTATCTTTCCCGTGACTTTCAACAACTTACGGCCAGAATCGTACAGAATGGATATGTCTGCTACAACGAAATCTAATTGCTGCTCTCGTGCTTAATTGCTTTCGGCGGCTGACTAATTGGCATCACAGGAGCGTCGCGATATTCGAGCCCGGTTTCTCTCATCACATGTTCTCAACGCTCTCTTCCAACTCGATCTCTCTTTCTGTCTGCCCTGCGGCACGAATGAGTCCCGAGGAACCTTTGACGAAGCCACTTTCGGCGACTTTCGTGATGGTTCAGCACGACATAGAGATGAAAAATTATGATACGATAAAAAATATTTTAACATAATCTTGCTATAAATATACGATTTTTAGTGGATACTTTAATTATTTTCTTATTTAATTATGCATCAATTCAATTTGATTTAAGATTGTGTTTCCCATTCAATATTTTGCTCATTTTACTTGAGGCTTAAAATTTTAAAGAACCCGCTGGGTTACAAGCCGCGTCAGGTGTGTGATTTCGCTCAAGGCGACATTCGCTCTCGCGTACCGGGGGGATCTTGATCCCCGAGAGAAGTCGGGATCGAGAACGTCGTTACTGTGGGAAAGAGCAAGAAAAAGAGAAGAAGCAAAAAAAGGCAGACATAGAGGAGCGAACGATAAGAGACGGAAAAGAGAGAAAGAGAGAGAGAGAGAGAGAGAGAAAGACACCGAAACGATCGCCCAACTCCTCGACCCAGTTATAAATAGGTGAGCGACCTCGTTCCAGGGATGATATCTCGTGTTCATCATTTGTCGATGAATTTTCGAAGGTGCAACGACGATCATCTGCAACAATTAAGTGCCTCTGATACGTTACAAACTTCCGTATGATTTTATTTCTATTTGTATGTTGAGACAGATTGTTATAAAGCGTAACTTCCAACCAAAATTCAGCGATCAGATGGCTAGATAATTCCCATGACTTCCTATTGTAGTCAGGAAAGCTGCGTAAAGGAACGAAAATAATTACAATTTTTACCGTAAGCGGCTCGGTATCTCCTCCTTAGAGACTCCTTGCGCTATACATTGTGCTACTTAGTACAATGAATTAATCAAGTCGCGAAGTTACAAGATATGAGTCATCAGCCGTCGCTAATGGACCTTGTAATCGCATCCGCCAACGCTGGATCTTCATTCTTCAAAAGTACACACGTTGCACCTCTCGAATGCACCTATCGAAATTGTACGGCCTCGTTGAGTTGAAGTATCTGGAGCGACCAAAGCGCTTCTGGTTATTTGAATAAACGAGGAGAAATATCGAGTAACTCATTTTAAAGAGAGCCCTAGAATTTCGTTCCGTGAATTACATACCGGCAAACAGTCATCGACATTCTCGCAGGAATCTCACAATTGACCAGAACTTCATGATTAGCCAGTTTCAAATCAACGTCATTGCAACACATACTGGACTTCTGCACGCGCGATGGTCATTTAAGTCACACAACACTCTACATCGTAATAATCGCGTAGGCGGGTAGTCGGGCGAAATGGTGCGGCAAAATTATATAGACTCTAAATATACTTTTTCTATCGCCCTGAATGTCCATCGTCTAACTTTTCTTTCGTTGTATATTAGGTTTTCCCTCATTGCATTTGGTCCCGATGGTACTGAAGAGGCTCCGCTTCTATCGCGGGTTAATGTGACTCAAAGTAGGTCCGTAGCGTGAGAATATGTCGAACATGGATATATCAGCTGAAAGAGTAGAAGGAGGAGAAATGCGAAGAGGAAGAAGAAAAGTAAAAGACTGGTAAAAAAAATGCAATTCAAGAATACACGTTTTAAAAACGTCTGATTAAAAAAATGGATATGTATCACGATGTTCGGTAATCTGTCTTGTGTTTTTCCTCCAAATTTCTTTCGCTTCTTCCTCTTTCTCGCGCTTCATTGATTTTTAACTTGCCGAAATAAGCAGGTATGACAAGAGGGAGGTTGAGAAAGGGGAGGAAGTCCGCGTCCGTGGGGAGATCCTGTGGCACCCGATACACTTGACGGAGTAAGAGAGAGAAAGGGATGGTGGGGGGGGTAACGAGAGAGGAGCAGAGCGAAAGGGGGGGAGACGAGAGAGCGTACAACGCGAATGCGGACCCCCGATGGCCTGCGAACCCATGAGGGCTCCCCTCGTGCGATACTTCGGTATAAAAGCAAAGCAACCTCTTTTAGATGTAACACACGAGGCAGCATCGGCGCATCCTGCCGTGTCTGATCACGTTCGAATAACGCGCCTGCACATTGAGGCACGGAAGAGTCTAGAAACAAACTGCACGTGACGCACGCGGCTTAAGAATACCTACGGCGTCGTTTGTACAAAACGCGTAGAACGCGGTCAAGTCGCACTCGGTGATCATGGCCAAGCATTTCGTGACGTTATTGTGGGTGTCGGCGGTGTTGACCGCGACCCTGGCGTTGCCGACCAGCGACAAGGCCAGCGGAAGTGAGAATGACTTGGTGGCGAGCATATACACCGATTGCCTGAAGAAGGAATCTATTAGCTGCATCAAGTACAAAGTATTCACGTTCGTCGACAAGATGCTGGCTGACAAAGAGGACATCACGCTGTCCGAGGGCATCACCGTCGTCAAGACGTCCAGCGCCGAGGGCGAGGGTGCGCCAAGGTTGGTTGTTGTCGGTTGTTGTTCTGTGAATCCCGAGATCGATCCCGAGACCGCTTACGCAAACTCAAATGTTGAACTTTATTTAACTTGAGAGAACTGTTATACTTATGTTTGCATTTTTGGCAGATCTATCGAATCCAGCGATTTGGATACTCTATTGTTCGATCGTCTTGGAAGATTCCTGAGGACGCACTCGGTTAAAGTTGATCTCAAAGGTAGCGACATTTTGGGAGCAATCGAGTCCGCTGGACGCAGTTTCGAGGACTTTAGCGATAATGCGGTCGAGAGCCGTGGGAAAAAGAGTGAGTATTACACTAATGAAACTTACGTTTTAATACTAATGCAGGGTTTAGAGATCCGTTGAATGTAATCGAAACCGGTTACGATAACATCAAATTACGTTTTATTGAGTTTGTTATCCGTGGAGGAATTCGTTACAGTGATTGCTCACACTTATTAAATAAAAGACTGCTTTAAAAGCGAAACTAGTGATAATCGATTAATTTTTATTTGTCAGTTATCTTAAATGTTGTTTTCATAATACTTACTGCGTATGCCACAATTTTTTATCGTTTTATTTTTTTGTTAATTTATTTGCAATAAAAATCTGGAGAAAAATTAATTATTTTATACAAACATGTTAAAATGTAATAAAAAACATTTTTTTGCATAATTATTTTTGCGATATCTCAAAATTTTAGAATTTTTCTTTTTGAAAGAGATTTTTTTTTTATATTACTACATGCAGTGACTATAATTTTTTATTAATATATATTTTATATATTAAGATTTGTATTATGCATATAAATATTTATCGATATATATATACACAATACAAAATAATATTTAAAAATAATATTTATTTTATATATTAAAAATAATATTTTTACACATTGTTCTGCTTATTATTAAATTATTTTTTAATTGACGGAGATACAGCAGAAAAGAAGGAAATAAATTTTTTACGTAACAAAGAGGTAATCATAGTTCATCGGGACAACTGTCAGCTGTAGTATGGGAGTTCTCTGCGTTCATCGCCGCCGTGTGAACAGCGACGATTGACGACGAGGAAGCCCATACTCGTCGCAGACGTTGACCCACTGAAGAACTGGTTCCGCTTCCCCTTGAACCTCTTACCAGAGGAGGAGAGAACGTTGGTGATACTGAAAGGTTGGAAGAGAGACAGACCGAGAGCGAGAGAGAGATCCTGCCGCGCAAGATTTTTGACATACTTTCCATTCTGATACTTCGCCTTGACCTTCGACTATTCCACTTTAAAAAACATTAACATCTCCACAATCGACGTAACGTGAATTACGGAGGCCCTATTATTATCGGGGCTACACATGCGCGAACAATTGACTTGCATGCGTGTTCGTATCTCGGCATCTGTTTATCTATTTATGCTTTGCTGTTACTGTTACACGATGATTAATTCCAGCACACGAGGATCAGTTTACCATACAAATTAATTCAAGATTATATCATTTGTAAACTTACGAGACTTCTCATCTTGATGCACTCGTTATGATATATCGATTGAAATATTTTATGAATATTTTCACAAATGTGTATATATTTGATTGTATCAATTTTATATTACAATTTATTACATTTTATATTACAATTTTATATTACATCAGATTTTCTAATCATCTGTAGTTTACGTTTCACTACATAAAAAAAAAATGGTAACATTATTTTCGATTCTTTTAGATTAAATTTTCTTACGATTAAGAATTATTGTCGTGTCTTTATCACATTGAATCTAAATACAAAACGAATCATACATAAATACGCGGAAAAGATATACATTTCTTATACAGAAATAACTTATTGTATATGATTTGTTGTTTTCTATGGGTTCCGTGAAAATTGCTATAGATATCTTGATAGTACATCTCATAATAGGATAATTGGCACTATGGAGTGAAAACCGTATATTCTCAAACATGCTTACTAAACTACATCTGACGATCATACTCAGATTCCCGTTCTCCACAGAAGTGTGAAAAGAGTGTAATGATAGTATTAAACTTCGCGGTTCGTATACTCGCATTCCATAGTTAGCGATGAAATACGAAATCCTATAAATACATGTATTATATGTATAATAATTTTTATTCACATTAATTAATTATAATATCATCATTATAAATTTTGTAAGCAGTAGAAAACTCGATTTTTTTTACACAGAAACATATGTTATCATTCATTAAGCAAAGTACAACGAGGACAAATAGACAAATACGGTTTCAAATTGTATTTATGATACGCACGATAAAATCGAAATCTAAAAAGTTAATACTAAAAAGTTTGTTTTTTTTTTTTCGAAAAAGAATATCTGTCGTTTATCTTAATATAATTGTAAAATACGAATGTTTGGAATATTACAGAGAAGGCGCAGAAGATCTTAGGGCCCTTGATGATGGCCATGGCTTTGAAAGCGGCCGCTTTATTGCCGTTGGCGCTCGGCGCGATTGCCATGATTGCCGGCAAGGCTCTGCTCGTGGGTAAAATCGCCCTCGTGATCTCGGCCATCATTGGACTGAAGAAGCTTCTCGGTTCTCACCAGAAGCACGTGACCTACGAGGTGGTCTCGCATCCGCATCACAGCAGCAGCCACGTTAGTCACGATGACCACGGCGGTTACGGAGGCGGTGACTTCGGCGGCGGCGGCGGCGGTGGTTACGGCAGCAGTGGACACGGATGGGCTAGAAGTCTGCCGCAGGACGCCCACGAGATTGCCTATCGCGCCCACCAACCCCAACCACAAGTTTAATCATCACACCATAGAAAGTTCTCGTCCCGCCTTTCGCCTCTCTCGTTCTTCGTTTTCTTCCGACGTTTTCTCTTCCCTTTCATTACACTCACGCCTGCTTCGCTCGCCGCGTTCCTCGTTTTACCTCTTTCCTTTTTCCTTTCTTACCTAAGCTGCTGCTAATGTATAATACCTAGTCTCTGTCTCTCCCTCTCTAGGAAAATATGCCGCTATCTACAGCACCTGACGTTCGATATATCCTCAGCTTCTAAAACCTTCTCCAAACTGTTCATCCCCTCTCTTATGCTTGTACACGATCTCTTATATTCTAATTCCTCTCTTCTCCTTTCCTATTTTCTTTCTTCCCTTTTTTTTTTTTATTTATCCTACATAATGGCCGATTCATCTCACGGTCAGTCACCAGTACCTCTGGGAGATGCTCATTGTTTTATATACGTAGATTTACGTGAGTTCGTTATTTATTCGTTGTATCTTATATGATTAATATTTATTTAATGTTTGACTGCGTGCTTCCATTATGACACCTCCTGTTTTTATAATAAAAAAAAAAAGAACGACGAATAACATGCCTCCATATTGTCCCGAAGAAAAAAAGATTCAGTGTTAAGTTTGCCCGTAGTGTTCGCTGCACTGGAAAAAAACCTAGCGTGTCCTGTGGCTCTCGTAAGAGTGACCGTCATAACTAAGAGCTTCCATTTATACATAACACTTGCACTCGTAGCCGTAAAGCGTAACGTAAGATCGTGAAACATGGTCTATTGAACTCGTAGCAATCGGATCATGTACCGGATGCGCCGCTGTACCACATTTTCTATATATTAATAGATACATAATGGAACTAGGATAAAGTTCACGAGTACGGGCGAAAATAGTTGAAGAATGCGCGACGCGGACGCTCTATTGCACAGGAATGCAAATCACTATGATGTATATAATCTTATTTATGCGATTTATGCGATTTATTGATAAATTCCGATCGTAAATTTATAGTATATGCAGTAAATATTTAATAGTTTTGCCGTTCTCTTTCTCTTTCTTTATCTACTCCGTATCTTCTTCGTTGCACATTTTTATTATTATTTCCAAGTATCTGGGGATACTTAGTTCAAAATAATCTGAAAGAATCTTGAGAGAAACCAATATACGTTAAATATAAATTTTATTTTATTGGTAAGTATATTAAAATAAAATTAATTTATTTCTGCAAGAATTAAAATTATTCAGTCTGAATATATTTAAGAAGCTAATTTTTTTAAGTTTCTGTAAAATGTAAGCTTCAAATTCAAATAGGAAAGAAAATAAATTAAAATCTGCATAAAATATTGAGCATCCGCATTAACGTCAGAAATATCCGTTATATAAGTCATATCAGTGTTGTTAATTTGACTTACTATTAGTTCCACGAGAATAATTAAAGCGTCCGCGAGTCTTACCCAGGATTTCCTTAGACTTTTCGCCGATTAACGACTATAGCGAAAATAGTGTGCCATAATCACGGTTAACATTCACGATATTTATCTTAACCCAGTGATTGCCCTCCGAAACCGGACGCACGCGCAGCCAGGTACAACTGCCAGGTAACCTGCATACCGCGGGTAAGGCTGCTCCTTCCGCTCCTACCGGAGTGGCCTTAAGGAGAAAAAAGGAGGTACAATAACGACGAGTTTCATCGGCCGAGCAGCCACGCGTATCGGGCCAGTTGAGAAAATCGACGATACGACGAAGCGATCGTACAAAATAGAATTTAGAACCGCGGCCCGCGACGCGATCTGGACGATCTAAACCGGAAACGGAGGCCCGGGCGCACGATTTACCGTGGCGTCTCTCGCGAGATCCGTCTCGCTTTCGCCACGCCGTCGGAAGATCATTTTCACGGCACGTATACGTAAATGTACGAGAAATCGGTAACGCGACATTATGCAGGTAGAAGTTCCGGCAGCATCGCAGTCGCATGGACTCACGACGCATGGACGCGACGACGCTGCAGAGGGAGTGAGTCGCGAGATGAGAGAGGACGAGGAGAAGAAGCGTCTACATTTGTACGCAATTGCAATTGCAATGCGTTTCTTCGAGTGCAGCTCGCGTGCAGCGAGCTCAATGAAAACATCACGCACTGGCAGATACCACTTTAATGCCGTGTTAACGAAGGTGAAGGAGGTAATATGATGACGATACGATAAAACTATGTTCTAATAATAATTATAGATAATTATAGACAAGAGGGTATTTCGTCTTTTTTTTTTTTTTTTTTTTTTCGTGTGATGTCTAAGTCTCCGTTTCATTTCTTCCCTCGTGGAAATGCCGATGTCTAAGTATATCTACATGCGCGTTTTCACTTGGTATGACCCAGTTAAAGCCGCGTCCACTGGCGTACATCGAATTGAACAGGATGAAAAGTCAAGGATACGAGGGAGCAAAGTGGAAGGATTGAAGCATCGTGCGAATTAGATGATTAATCGGATGAAGAAATTGTGCTTAACATGCGTAACGGTATACGTTAATTCGCCGATTCATCGTTTCTCTTTTTCGATGACATGATTATGTGGTGAGTAAAGGGAAACGTTTGTTCGATCTTTCGATTGAAAAGTGGAACGTACATTGTCACCTTGATTTAATAGCTGAACCAAAGAATCGCGAGCTTAATGCCGGCAGTATAACTGTGCGTCCAATACTTGAGAAGTAATGAGAAATGCAGTTATATCTAATCGTACACATGTGATGATGATAATTTTGTATTGGTTATAATTTTAGTTGTCTCGATTGATATTTAAAGATGTTGCCCATGAGACATTTTCAAGTATTTGGAAGCAAGTCTCTCTTCTACACGAGTGCCTACTCGTAGGCTCGATATTACCGCTAAATATCTCAAATAAGTAAATAATTAAGATAATTAAGATAGCCTAGAAAGGAGCAGTTGGAGTAATGAATTCCTAAAAATCAGCTCACCGTCTCAGGTTTAACGAATAAACGATTTTATAGTCTCGTAAATCGGGAGAGAATAATCTGTGAGCATGTAGCCTCCGTGCCAATAACACACTTTATATTTTATTGCGTTTCCTGCTTATCAAATATATCAATGACCGTGAACGTCGTGTAAGGCTTTCTATTGTATGTAGTCGTGTTCGCGTTCGCTTCGGCAACCGATGATATTCGCGCGTATCTCTCGCGTTTTCGTTTGGGCGCGCCTTTCATTTTCAATCTTGTTTCCTGTGCCACCGTGAATCTGGACGAGAGATGAGGAATTAGAGTCGAGAGAGGAACGGCAGCGGGAGCATCGAACCGCGTCGAATGGCAGCCGGTGCGTAGATAGCGACGTCGCCCACGCCACGCGCACGAGGAACAACGGAACAACGATACGGACGAAATGCGGTTAGACCGGTCGAATTAAATCGGTGAGATATACCAACATGAGCGGAATGAGGAGAATAACGAGGAAGAGGAGGAAGGCCCTGCGCGCGGTAGCATGGCGGCAAGACTATGCTCTCGGTAAAATCGCGACGGAATCGCTCGGATGCATCCAACACGTCATGGCTGGTGGGAGACAAATCC